CCCGCCGCTCCCCCGCCCCCGGCCTCACCACCACACATAGAGTTCAGAGGCTGAGCCCAATCTAACCGCAAACAGCCAAGTTCAAGATGAAAGCCCTTGGCCTGAGGTCAGAGCCAGCCAAGCACAGCATTCAAAACTGGAGGATTGTATTTCTTTTAAATGCCAGACTACAAACATGGCAAAATCCCAGGAAAAGACTTAGAAGCAACAGTCATCACCTCCCTCGCACCCTCCCCTATGAGTCCCCCCACCTCGCCTAGAACCTTTCAACACTTGTTAATTCTACCCTCAATAAGTCTCTATTAGTATGCCATCTATAATCATCCTAAGAGCTCTAAGTAAAACTCTCAAAATGATTCAATAAAAATTCACTTTACTGTTAAAACTCTAACCAGAGCAGTTAACTAAGGCAGATTGATTGATCTCAATTTTTTTTGACTGTCCTGGACTTTGAGCAGAATGTAAATAAGAAAACGAGCGTTTAGGAAGGGACCTTTTTCTTCCATTTCCTCTCAAAAACACAACTTCTCCAACTTTCCATTTTTCCAGTCCTAGAAGGTGAGAGTTCAAGTTAGAACTAATGACATGGGGCCTCCATGATCCTGAATAATCAAAAGATCTATTGTGTTCTCTTCACTTACAAAGGCAGTTAGGCAGACCAATGCACTTTTACAATTTCCAACAAGGCTTGAAACAAAAAGGTTTTCATGTTAACCCTCAATTCTCCAAAAAATTCAATGGACGTGCCCCATTCTGAACATTTTGGTAACATGTAATTTTACCATATAACCAGTGGTTATATTTTTCAAAGTTTAAGAGGAGGATTGGTGTGAATAATAGGATGTCAGAACCCCGAAACTGGAATGAGTCTCACTATTGCAGATTGGAGCATATGTAGCATCGGAAGGGTCCAGAAAATCAAAGGAGAGGGGTCTGGGACATATGGAAAACCTCCAAATGGGAGAACACAGTTTGGCGCTAAGGCAGCAAGGGGGCCACTGGGATCCAAGAGCCTTCCGGGAACTGGTCAGCTATGTGAGCAGTCTAGGAAAACCTAAGTTAGGAATGGAGTGTCCCAGTGGAGGGCAGGGCCTGGAGTGCCACCTCCTGCACCCCCCAGGAGACTTGGGAGTCTCAAGAGCCACAACACAAAGCAACACCCCACCATCTCCCTCCTTCTTTTCCCTGCTAAGCCCTAATTCCAGGACTCTAGTGGGTTTATTCGTCTTTCTCCCCAGCAGCCAGTCTGAGCTTGGCCATATCTTAATTCATCTTTGTACTATCAGCACTTTGCCCAGTGCCTGGCACACAGTGGGTACTTGATAAATGTTTGTTGACTAATTTCCCTATCCTTTGGAATACAACACACTTCCATGTGAAGCTTGACTCTGCATTATATAATCCTGGCCAAGTTATATCACCTTTTTAAGCCTCATTGCGTTCATCTATAAAAGTGGGTGGTCATCAAGATTAGATTAAAATAAGAATGTACATGAAGTGCTTATTCAAAGCTCTGGCTCAGAGTGAACTCTCGAATTCTTCCTGTTTGTGATCACTGCACACCGGACATGAAGGCTGAGAAGAGTTCATTCTCCCCCTCTACCCCAATCCTCTGCGTTTTTGTGCTTCTAAAGGAGAAGTGGGGTGCGGCGGACTGATGCTTACTTCAGTAATGGAGGAGGTGATGGCTCAGCCAGGTACAACGCCGAGAAGCTTGCACGCAGATACCTACTCTTGGGGAAACAGAAAACAGAATTTCCCAGCAGGCCAGATTCAGCTGAATCAATTTACTAAACTCACTTATAGACAATTCAACAGCTTCACACACCTAAGAGAGAGAGCAGCAGTGTACAGGGAGGCAGCCGGCTGGTTGCAACCCAGACTGTGCCCTCCTGCTATGTCACCAAGGCCACTTTAACTTTTCTGAGCGGCAGTGTCCTTATCTGAACATGTAAGGTAGCTGTAAGATGTACCTGAACTAATAATCCAGGTAAAGGATTTTGCAAGTTGCCTTGGTCAGTGTGTGCTCAATAAGTCAGAGCAGCAGAGGGAGACATGATCACTCTCCTAAGTTAGATCTACACACATCTTGTTGAATGCTTTTACTTTACTTGACCATCACCAGTCCCCCTCATTTTGCAGGTAAAGAAAGAGGCAAACTTCAATAGCTTAATGAGTAAATGGCCAAGCCAAATGGCAAAACCAGCCTGTGCCTTCTCTCATAAAACACAGATACTATTCGCAATGCCCAGTGTGCAAGGAGCTCAGTCCATGCTAACATCCCTTGTGGGAGCCTCTGCAATTTAGGAAGGGGGTCGCCCAATCCCTGGGGAGCAAGCTTCACAGCAAGGGTTCCAGATGGTTCTGGTAGCAGGAAGGAGGGCGACCACTTGTCCCAGGGCTGGTGGGTCGCTGAGCATTTGAAAGTCCAACCTCCACATCAATTCAACCACAGCTTGAACAGGGAGGAAGCACCTGACAACTCAGGGACTACTTCCAAAGATCTAAAGAAAGGTATATAAACTCCCTCTCCCACATATATGAAAGAAAACACACACACAAGGTGAGAAAAACCCAGACCCATACTGCACTACCCCCACACCCTTCCAACAACCCTACCCAAGAGCCTGCCCCCACCCTAGGAATTCCTAGCAAAAGACTCCTTTAGAATTTCAAAGGTGATTCAGAACTCAATAAAACACAGAATCTCAGGTGGAAAATGCCCAAACAACCAGATGGAGAAAGAAGATTTTTGGAATTTTCATTTTTTTTTAAAAAACCAATTTCCTGAGGCCTGAGGCAGTGCCCCAAGTCACAGATCAGAAAGCCTAGCCAAGCAGATTTCTGGAGACACTTAAAAGTAACACTAGCAAAATGGTTCCACTGGTCTTCATTTCTTGGGTTTTTCCTATGAAGGGAGGAGACTCACCCAGTTGAAGATGGTTTGAGAATTTTTGGCTGTGGATGGGGACAGGGCTCTCCATAATCATCTCCGAATCACTGGCCTGGTGCACAAATCCTTTTTCTAAAAGTTACTCCCCACTCTGGGGGATTTAACAGGACATCAAAGTAAGAGGCATTTTGTTTGCTCAAACACCTTAAGAAAGCTGTCCAACATCCAAAGCTACTACCACCAGCTGCACCCGGCTGCCTCACCCTGACCCCCCCTTTCCCTTCTCCTCATGTTTTGAAGTTTATTTTCCCACATTCAGCCTTGAATTCTTTCCTTCCTTCCCCTGCACTGGCGAGGAGCGGCAAAGAGGGAAAGACTTCGAGGGCAGCTCGATTCTTTATCATACCCGCCTGCCTTCTTCCCCTCTAAACAAAGCCCTGGAAGAAACTAAACAGCTTGTTGTCCAGAAGAATTGTTTCCTCAAGGGAAATTATAAAGTGACCCCTCACCAACACATGCACACAAGGCAGACCCGCAGCCTAAGGAACCGGCATCACCCAGAACTCCTGCTCTTAGGAGCTAAACCACCAACTACCTTCTGAAACTCAGTCTCCCCACCAACCTCATCTCCCGCCGGCCCCCAGCGCGGTAACTGCGACAAGACAGGAGACTCTCCCAGTAAAATCAAACACTCAACCCGCAAGCCTAAGCCTCCCTTCCACTGGCCGGAGAGGAAAAGTTTACTTGCCTGGCGGCGGGGAGGCAACGATATGCTCATACATGTGAATGTCTATCGATTTGGGGATAAAAAGGGGGCACCACAGGCAAGAAAGTTTCATGTTTTCCAGCGCTTTCAACCTTCCAACAATTCAGTGCAGTCAAGATGATGAAGACGGGTTCGTTCCCATTTTAAATATTGGGAAAGTGAGGCCAGAAAAACGAGACAACTTTTTGTTAGACAGCCGTAAAGCATTGGAAAACTGCTGTAGATTAAATCTTGTTCCCCATCAAACCTCCTTCATGGCATCTTTTGTCCCAAGAGAAATGTAACATCATCTTAGATCATTTCACAATCTGGAGCCTTCACCAGCTCTTACTTTGGTCCTGGTCATTCCACTGGAGGGATGCCATTAGTTCAGGCCAAGAAAAGTGGATGTTTAAGGCTAAGAGACTTCAAGAAACTCAGCTGGAGGGCCTAGTCTCCAAACTGGACAAAGGTCGGCTCCACAGTTTACTTCAGTGCGGTCAATGCCATCCATAGGGCATACGAATCAGAAGAAACTCCCAATGCCAACACGGATCAGACACTTTCCCCACCACCTCCTATCTTCACGACCTCTTCTCCCCCGCGAAAAAAAAAAGGGGCTCCCCGGATTTTGTTCTTTTGTTCAACCTACTACTTTCACAAAGTTTTAACTCCAAGCCCTTGGAGTTAGCCTTCCGGAATAGGCGAGATGCAGCAAGATAAGCAAGCCTTCCTGGAAGCGCGTCCTCATCATTCCAGCCACCAGTTTCCAACGCGGCGGCTCAGGCCGGACAAAGCTCCCTATCCCAATTCCCGAGCCCTGCGGAGGCGAAGGCGGGGACGGGTTTTTTTAGGGTGGTCTTTGCTCAGGCAGGACCCTGCCGCAACTCTGCTGGGCTCACGTTCCCGAAGAAAAGCCGGGCGCGGGTGACATTGGCCCTGGAGCTGGGAGGTGGAGACGAAAGTGGGTGACACCCGGCTCGGCTCCCGAACTCCGGAAACATCTCCAAGGAAAGATAAAAGCCTTTATCTGCCTCACAGCCTCCCTCCAAGGAGGGGGGTACCCGCACACCTACACCGAACCACTGCTGGGCCCTGTTCACCCGGGGGTCAGCCCTAAGTTCTATTCTCTGGACAAACTGGGGTCCGCGTGTGGCGACTCCTGTGTCCACAGGTGAACGACAGCTCTCAGCTGCCAGATCCATGATGAGACATTCTCTCCTGTCACCCCCCCCCCAGGCCCACCCACAGGGACTGCAGGTCCTCCACATCTGTGAGGGGCGTTTCTTCAGCACTCCTAAAGCTCCGGTCTGCTTCCGGTGTCTGTAGGAGTAAAGCGGCTCACCTGCAGGATCTTGTCCAGGCCCTCCTGGCCTAGGCACGGGAACTCCTTGAGTAGATGCAGTTTCTGTGTATAGTAGTTCTTCTTAGCCTCCTTCCAGTGCGGCTCCTCCAGCACCTCGAAGATCGCAGCCCCGATGGCCAGGTAGAAAATGATGGCCGAGGTGAGCAGAGGGCCACGGTCCACCATGGCTCCTGGAGAAAGCGTCCCCTAGCCCGAGCGGCTCCCTGTCCACCCGCCCTCCAGCCTCTGGAAACAGCTGTTTGAATTTGGAGCTCCGCATGCGCAGTGCCCCGTGCCCCTGGCGCGGCTCCACAAAGTTGCTCCTCCAAGTTGGCCCACTAAGAGCGGGGAACTGTGCGGGACCCTGCTCACCGGGCCAGGGTTGGGCGCACACCAAGGAGGCCTGGAACGCGGGGGCAAAGGGATCGCAGGGTCCGGCTGCGGGCAAACACGTGGGCAGCCTTCCGCGCGCCACAGCAATAAGCTCCGCGCCCGCCTCTGCGCGCCTCTTTAACTAGCGCCAGGCGCGCGCCGCAAGCCTGCGCCGGGCCCCCGTGGGGGAGGGGCCGATCAGGCCCCGCCCTCCACCAGAACCGCCCCCGCGCAGGCTCCGCCCCACGCAGGCCCCGCGGCTGCCGGCAGTGCCCACGAGGTGCACTCCGGTGATCCGTGGTTTCCCTGGGGCCGAATGCCTAAGGGATCTTGATCTCTGGGACTTGCATTTGTTATTAGTACTGGCGTATTAAGTAAAATGAGTGTGCACCTAATGACTGGGGTCAGGAAGTTATTACTATTGTTATTTTCCTTGTAATTCAGTTTTACTGATGTTTCTGCCAAGAAAGCGTCCTTCTCAGTCTGTCTCACACATCTTACTATAAGTCTGGGGAAAGGGAATTAAAGTCTGGAGAAGCTGTAGAGAATCAGGATATCAGTAACTAATCCAGCCACAAAGGCGTGACTTCTCTCTCTGGCCCTGGTGAGACTCCTGCCTGGGGAAGGAGCGGTCTAGGCAGTACTGTTCAAGACCCCTCCCTTGCCCCCTCCCCCGCAACTCCAGGGGAAACACTTGACCTCTTTCATACTCCCAAGCCTGTTTAAAATCGCAACCTCCCCTCAAGGCAACACATGCACTCCTTATCTTTCTTGTTACTTTATTTTCTTTCTAGCACAAACTCCCTCAAATATATATCTCTAATATACTATATAACACTTAAATGACAGCTGGTGGGTGGGGAGTCTAGACTGTTCAGTGACAAACCCCCAGGTCCTATTACATAGTAGACACCCATTAAACATTTGTGAAATGAAAGAGTGAATGACAGTCAAAAACATATTTGTCAAAAACGCAAAGCCAGTGGAAGTCCTAGCCAGAGCAATTGTGTAAGAAAAATATAAAAGGCATCCAAATTGGAAAGAAAGAAGTAAAACTGTCACTATTTGTAGGTGACATTATGTGTAGAAAACTCTACTAAAGATTCCACTAAAAAATTGTTAGAGCTATTAATGAATTTAGAAAAGTTATAGTATACAAAATCAGGTTACAAAAATCAGTTGCAGTTCAATATACTACAAAGTATCAGGAAAGAAGAAGAATTAAGAAAACAATCTCATTTACAATTGCATCGAAAAGAATGAAATACTTAGGAATCAATTTAACCAAGGAGGTGAAAGACCTGTACACTGGAAACTAAGACATTGATAAAAAGAAATTGAAAAAGGACACAAATAAATGGCAAGATACTCTGTGCTCATGGATTGGAATAACTAATATTGTTAAAATGTCCATCCTACCAAAGCAATCTACAGATTTAATGCAATCCCTATCAAAATTCCAATGGCATTTTTCAAAGAAATATAACAAACAACCTAAAATTTGTATGGAATCACAGAAGACCAAAAATAGCCAAAATAATCTTGACAAAGAACAAAGCTGAAGACATCACAATCCCTGATTTTAAATATATTATAAAGCTATAGTAATCAAACAGCATAGTATTAACATAAACACAGACTCATAGATCAATGGAACAGCGTAAAGTCCAGAAATAAATCCACGCATATATTGTCAATTACTTTACAACAAAGGAGACAAAAATATACAGTGGGAAAAAGACAGTTTCTTTAATGAATGGTGTTGGGAAAACCGGACAGCCACATGCAAAAAAATGAAACTAGACCAAAATCTTATACCATACACAAAAATTAAACCAAAATGGGTTAAAAAGTTGAACGTAAGACCTAAAACCATAAGGCTTTTAGAAGAAAACATAGATAGTAAGCTCCTTGACATCAGTTGTGGCATCTTGGAAGTGATTTTTTTGGATCTGACTCCAAAAGCCAAGGCAAAAAAACCCCTGAAATAAACAAGTGGGACTACATCAAAGTAAAAAGCTTCCACATAGCAAAGGAGATCATCAACAAAATGGAGAGGCAACCTACTGAATGGGAGAAAATATTTGCAAATCATATATCTGATAGGAGATTCAAATCCAAAATACATAAAGAACTCATACAACTCAGTAGTAAAAAACAAAACACGAGTTGATTAAAAAATGGACAGAGGGTCTGAATAGACATTTTTCCAAAGAAGACACACAGATGGCCAACAGGTACATGAAAGATGCTCAACATCACTTATGCATCAGAGTGATGCAAATCATAATGACAATAAGCTATCACCTCATACCTGTTAGAATGGTCATGATCAAAAAGATAAGAAATAAGAAGTGTTGTTGAGGACGTGCAGAAAAGGAAACTTGTACACTGTTGGTAGGGATGTAAATTGGCGCGTCCACTATAGAAAATAGTATGCCAGTTCCACAGAAAATTAAAAATAGGACTACCATATGATCCAGCAATTTTACTTCTGGGTATTTATGCAAAGAAAACAAAATAGATTAACTCAAAAAGATATATGCACCTCCATGTTTACTGCAGCATTGCTTACAATAGCCAAGACATAGAAACAACCTAAGTGTCCACCCATGGATAAATGGGTAAAGAAAATGTGATATATATATATCTAGACAATGGAATACTATTTAGCCATAAAAAAAGAATGAAATATTGCCATTTGCAACAACATGGATGGACCTTGAAGGCATTATGCTAAGCAAAATAAACCAGACAAAGACAAATACCATATGATCTCACTTATATCTGGAATTAAAAAACAACAACAAAAATCAAACTCACAGATACATAGACCTATTGGTAGTTGTCAGAGGCAGGGTGTGGGGGGTGGATGAAATGAGTGAAGGAGGTCAAATGGTACAAACTTCCAATTATAAAATAAATAAGTCATGGAGATGTAATGTACAGCATGGTTGACTATAGTTAATAATACTTTATTGCACATTTGAAAGTTGCTGAGGGTAAATCATAAAAGTCCTCATCATAAGAAAAAGTTTTTGTAACTATGTATGGTTACTATTTTATAACTATGTATTTTATAGCTTGTATGTATACATGCAAGTATCAAATCATTAAGTTGTACACCTTGAAACTAATATGTTATAAGTTAATTATACCTCAATTAAAAAATCAACAAAATTTATTAAACAACCACAACAATGACAATCTTGCTACCAATTACTGAGTATCTATAAACCATAAATCCAAGGCAGTATTACATCCTTTCCATGCATCACGAGCAGGGCCTGTCATTATACTCACTTTGCAGTGAGAAAACTGAAGCTGGGGCGGGTGGGTTCATTTGTTCAAAGTCTCTCAACTAGCAACTCCTAAAAATTGGAGAGACATACTGCTAACACTCTGTACCAAGGGTTGGCCCTGACCCTCTCTGGTCTCTGTTGGAGCAGGTACGGCAGTACCTTAAGTTCCTTCACTGCCTCTTGGCCAATGCCTTTTTTTCCCCATTGGGAAAGTGAGGGACCTCGGTGCTTACAGAGATTCAGGTATCAAGAATTAGGGAAGTTTTTACTTGGGGTTGGGAGAAGTATCTGTAGTATCTCCAAATCTGGCTGGAACAGAGGAGCTAGGGATGCATGTTTGAAGATGAATCTGGTTTTGTACATGTTTCTGTCTCTCCTTTATGGCACCATGTGTGTCCCTAGGAGGCTGGAGTAGGAAGCTGACAAGCCCCAGGCTTCTTGATTCTATGTCTCTGAAGCCTTGGGGAGCCAATGAGGCCTTGGGGTGCCTCCGTCTGGATGTGAGGGGACCTCCCCCACCAGGACCCTTCAATCACCCCAGACAGAGTCTTCTCTAACTCTTCCTGCCTCCTACCCACCCTGCACCAAACTCTGCAGTCCCAGTCTCCAGCCTCAGCCTTTAGAGACCAAGATTTTGTCCCTGTTCCTCTCTCTGGATGGAGAAAGTCAGGCTGTGGTGTGAACAGTTCACGCAGAGTGGGGAGGGGGCAGTTTGAGAGGCCACAGGCTCTTTCTTTGTTTGGAAAATTCTGTACCATTCCTCTCCCACCTCCGGACTGTGTTCTCTTCCTAAAAAAATAAAGGGCCTCTTCCTATTTCAGTCTCTCTGTCTCACAAAAACACTGCAGAATACTTTGGGATGAATTGGTTTTTGTTAGAATTTTTTTCAATTTCCAGTTTCTCTATCTTTCCACTTTGCCTATTTCTCCATTTCCAGACCCCTTTCTCTTTCTTGCTCTCTCAGTGTCGTGCTCACTCTCTCCTCATTCTCTCCTCTGTTGCTCCATTCCTTACCTTCCTGTATTTTCCCAGACCACTGACGTTAACTTTCCATTCTCCCTGCTCCTGCCTCTCTTTTGTCTCTTTGCACATTGGATGTGCTTCTCCTCTCCTCCCCGCTTCCCCATCCACACATTTGGATGAACGATTTCTGATGGCGATTAGGAGCTACGCCCATTCTCTGCACAGCAGCCAGTGGGGACTTTTGGAAATATAATCTGTACTGAAACTAATGAATGTCTAGACAACTCGAGCCTCAAGAATTGAAAAAGAGAAAGTAGGTATATGGGGGAGGGGCACAGGGTAAGCATTTTCTTACAGTGCTGATAAATAAAGCCACTTTAATGGCTTTATTCTTATGTTCATTTGTCAGCTTGTGGCTGATAATCCTTTCAGAGTGCCATCTTTTGAAAGGCAATCAGCCTTGAGATTGGAGTTCAGTTTCACCTTGATAGCAACAGATCACTAGACTTATCTGGGTCCCACTCCTAGGAACTGGATGCACGGATCAATTGTTTTCTCCAAGGTCATGCTCTTGAACCAAGCCATAAAAGGATCCACACCCACAATTGTTTCTTCCTCCTTTCAGTCAGGTGAAGGGATTATTCTCTTGGTGAATGAACATTTGATAATGCTTTCACAATGCTAAAACACTTATTGTTTTATCTCTGTTTAGGATATTTCTGTTTATAGTCTATTTAGGAATTTCAGAATAGTCCCTCTCTGAAATGCATGTGCAGTTGAAGGAGGCATATAAAAGCCATTAAGAGCATAAAGTGATTCACCATCACAATCACTTGAAAACCTTGATTCCTTACAAAAGAAATGCTTTATAGAGCTTGTGGACAGGTGGGGAAAAGGAGTGCTGTAGAAAGTACCCTCGCAGAGTGATCGGATCATAAATTCCTAACTAGGCAGGTCATGGTGGGTAGTCACACCCTAGGCATGCAATGGTTTACTAAAAGGTTGATCTTTGCCTTAAACAAGCCTCTGTTTAGGAATATTTTGGTTTATAGTCTGTTTAAAAATTATTCTTGTGCATCTAGGTTAACAGACCTTTGAAATGCCTCTTTTTTATACCCTTTGGAAGCATAACCATCCTTAAGGGGACACATAACCTTCTTAACTTCCCATAATCTAATTATAGAGATTTCCCACCTTACTTTTTCCCATGTTTATGTAATCTTCCTTGCCTTCCCTCCTTAATTCAAAATGTATAAAAGAAACTACAAAACTGTTATTCTCCAGAGCACTTGAGATCTTGTTTCCTGGCACTGTTGTCAGTTTCGGCTCAGATAAACTTATAATAATTCTCTACAGATTTGGATGTTCTTATATTGACATAAGCTATACCATCTAGTTTGTATAAGTGCTTTTTATTATGCTCACATAATGACGAGATCATCTAATGATGAATTTCTTAGAATGTATCCGTGTCATTAGTGGCCCATGACTGTAATCAAACTCTTAGAAACAGAAAGTAGTAATTGCCAGGGAATGCAAGGAGCGGGAAAGAAAATTGTTTAATGGGTTTTGAGTTTCAGTTTTATAAGGTGATTTGTTGCACAACGAGGTGCATTTAGTTAACGCTACTGTGCTGTCCACTTAAAAATGGTTAAGATGGTAAATGTTGTGGTTTGTGTAAGATTCAAGGTAAAAACACACAAAAAAGTAGTGAAAATTGAACTTGTAAATTCAATGTAAAGTATTTGAAGTTACAAGGATTAGCCAGACATTGATTGAGGAGAGAGGTGTGGCTAAGCAACAATCGTTAAAGTCAGGTAAGTGCTGCCTTGGCAGAGTTGCAATTCCTCTGAACACTGAAGCTACATGTCCTTTGTACTGAGAGCCAGTCAAGATATAGAGAAATGTGTCAGTGCACGTTAAGAGCAGAGCTCAGGTACTGATTCTAAATTATTTGTATTTGAAGATTGCAGATTGATCTGGATTATCATTTCAAAATCTTTCCCTTAAAAAGGGAACATGATAATGTTGGAGTTTCATTGCTGTGGGACAACATCTAAATTTTCCTCTGCCAGGAAAAAAAAACTCAGTAACAGGAGAAGTCCCCACTCTGACCAGGTTTAGAGGTCTTCTGAAGCTATTCCTTAGTCTGGATCATTTCAAGAGGAACACAGCAGGATGGGGTGAGTTATGGGACCTATCTCCAAACCTTTCTCTTTACTGTCATTGATCCTTGAAATCCCATTCGAGAGTCATTCCTTTCCATTAAACATTGCCCTCACCTTAAGACCTCCTTTTAAACCCAGGGAAGGAGTACAAAATTAAGACCCTAACGCTTTACCGCTGTGGATCTTACTTTTTTTCCAATTGTTTATTTTGGTCACACAGTAAGTATCTATGAATATTTCCTCAGAAAAATGGACCCCTGCACATACCCACCAAAATTTTTATGCAAGCTCTGACAGTTCACAGTAGCGCCCTGCCTTCATCCACCATCAAGGTTGTTCCTGGCTGGATGACTCTATAGCATCTTGGGTAGGGATGTTCAAGGTGATTGAGCAGAGCTGTCTGGTGAGGAGAACAAAAGAGAAAAAGGTGAATGGAAAGGATGGAGAATGCACCACAGCAAATTTGATTGTATTAAAAAATTCAATAGAGTAAGTTTGAAGATCTAATTGGCTTTATTAAATGATTCATGAATTGGGTAGCATCCCATCTAGTGACTGAAAGGGTGCTCCAATGGGTTGTACAAAATTGAAGGTTTTTATAGGGAGATGGTAAAGCAAGAGAGCTGTTAACAAAAGCAACAACAACAAAAAAATAAAAATTATTTTTAGATTAGGATGTCTTCTTTTGAGGGGATAGAAATGGCAAAGGTTTTTATCATGCAGATTGCCTCTCCTTTCTATGGGGGTGATAGAGAGGACCAATGTTACAGATAACCTTACTGATGCTTGACTAGAAAAATTCCAGCCTGGTTGATGAAAGCTACCTTTCTAGGAGAGTGAGAAACAAATTAGATCAGATATTAAATCTAGCTTTGATATCGTGGGCTTGTTGACCTAAGAACGTCCAAATCTGTATAGAATTTTTACAAGAGTTTATTCAAACTAAATCTGATGACAATTGCCAGGAAGCAAGATCTCAAATGCTCTGGAGAATAACAGTGTTGAAGTTTCTTTTATACATTTTGCATTAAGGTGGAAAGGCAAGGAAGATTATATGAACATGGGAGAAAGCAAGGTGGGGAATCTCTGTATTTGGATGGCAAGATAGTTAAGAAGGTTATGTATTCCCTTAAGGGTAGTTATGCTTTCCAAGGGCATAAAAAAGAGGCATTTCTAAGGTGCGTTAACCTAGATGCACAAGAATGATGGACAGGGCTGGCTTAACCCAAAGATAAGCTTTTTAGTAAAGAAGTTACATTCCTGGGATGTTAGGAATTTATGATCACCCTGTGAATTTACTTTCTCTCAGATCTATTACAAAGCACCCCCTCTTTTTTTTTTTTTTTTTTGTCCACAAACTTTTAGCATGAATGACGCCATTCTTCTTTGACAGGAGGAAAAATTATTTTTTCCTCTACCCTGCTGGGTTCTTGGCTGAGGCATCCCTGTAATAAAAGACAGATTAACAAGAGAAAAACAAACACAAGTTTAATAGCATGTATACCTCCTGTACACTTGAGAGAGACCCAGGAAAACTGAGTCACTAGCCAAAATGGTTGAAGGTACCACATTAAATACCATCTTCAGCTGAAGACAAAAGAAGATGTTGGGACAGGGGTTGGGGGGTCAGTTATGGGAAGTTACCAGGAAAAACTCAGTAAATAAGGGTAAGATTGTGCAAAAGAAAAAGGGATTCTAGAGAAAGTAAGCTCACAGGTGATCTGATCATAAATTCCTAACTGGGAAGGTCATGGTAGGTAGTCATGCTCCAGGTCTACAACTTCTTTAGTGAAAGGATTTTAAGCCAGCCCCATCCATTGTTCTTGCGCATCTAGGTTAAGACACCTTTGACATGACAGAAGTAAGCCCCCTGGAATGTATAACCATGCTAAGAGAGAATATAATCTTGTATTGAACAAGCAGGCTTTGCCATGTTCCCCCAGCCTACTGCACCTCTCTCTTATTCTTTGTAGTTATCTCTGATGATAGTTCTCTTCCTGGAACAGGCCGTCTATTTAAATTCTTTTAGGCAATTAAGGGAGAGGTAAAAAGCTCTTTCTGAGTCTTTTTTTTTTTCTTAAAAATAATCAGCCAAAAATAATCCGTATGCCAAAGAGACATATTTTGGGATGACAACTTCTGTTCCCCTTACTTCTAGGCTACAAACCTGTACAGCAAGTTACTACACTGAATACTGTAGGCGCTTATAACACAATGGTAAGTATTCGTGTAATGCATTGTGCTTTGGCATTGTGATGGCTACGATATCACTAGGTGATAGGAAATTTTCAGTTCCATTATTACTGTTGCACGTGTAATTCATCATTGACTGAAAAGTCATTATATGGCACCTGATGGTATACTAGTATACACAAATTTTATTTAAAAAAATGTTTTGATAATTATGTTTTGATATAATTGGTTGCCTTTATAATACGGCACATTTCGTTTATTTATTTAAAAATGTTATACTAGTTACAAGTCCACAGGCTTCACCAGACAGCCAGAGGGGTGGATGAAACAAAAAATAAAGTTCAAGCATTCTGCCTGGAAGGGTTTTAAACAAGTGTCTCGATCACTAGCATTTTCCAGAGTTCACCCAGGCAGGTGGGTCCTTTAGGATGTGAGGACAAGAGTCTAGGGGTGAGACAATGGGGCCCAGAAGGAAGGTAGGTAACAGGGGCAATGAGAGGCTGGGACAATTTAGCAGATGTTAAAGAGCTAGCAGCTTCACGAATCAGGAGCTGTCACTGTTTTTGTAATTCCGCTACTTTATGCTGCTATTAGCAGGACCTGCTACGTTCTGGACTGTGGCATCCATGAAAATCTGCTTTTCATCCCCCACTGCCTGAACACTGGGCTAATACAGGAGCCTCTCCCCCAGCCAGCTTCTCCTAACCTCTCGCCGCCTCTGGCTGCTCTAAGCAACTCCAGAAAGTCTCCTTCACTCAGACCCACTGTTTAATGCCTACAGCAGCCACATCTGGCCCCAACGTGACTACTCCCAAGGGACATAAAGATCTCTGAGACAATCAGCCACTTGTCCACCAAATGAGAGAGGGGCCTGACGATTGGTGGAGAGGAGGGAGGGGAGGGGAGGAGGATGAGGAGGGTGCCAAAGGGGAAGGAGGAACCAGGATTCCTGGAATTTCTGCCTCCTCAGCCAATGTCCAGGAGCAAGCTGGGCAATAAACAAGACTTACTCACACATGGGACTTTGGCCTTGAAGTCCTGAGACATGAATTTCTGGGCGATGGTTCACCAGACACTGGGACTCCAGGGCTTGAAGCCCCATACCTTATTATGGGGCTTGTAACAAATAAGTTACTATTCATTTACTGTCATAAGGGATTGGAATTCCTGTCCCTGGTCACAAAATACCTCCCTCCTCAAACCAGCAACTCAGATCCTCTTATTCTATGTCAGGGATCAAAGCTGGCTTTGTCTGGAAAAGCCATTAATTGGGGGCTGGCTTAAAGACCTTACTGAAGAGGAGCATATTGGGGTGAATGGTCCAGCCCCCTTCCTCACACCACCTTACTGTCAGGGCAAGGAAGGGACTAGTCATAAGTGATGCTATGACATGAGTCGCCATTACTATGAGCTTCTCCTGTGTCAGGCCCTGCACTCAGCACCTTATACACATTACTGCATTTAACCTTATGACCCCCTAATGTAAGCCTGATATTTATTCCCATTTTACCTGTGAGGAAACTGAAGCTCAGGAAAGGGAATTAATTTGCCCAATCTAGTGCATAGGGAAGCCAGGATTGGGACCCAGACCGATCTGATGGCAGAGGCCTCTTCTCCCTTAGACAGGTTGGGGTCAGAGCAAGCTTTACCCCTCCAGCACCCAGTCCTGGGTCCCTCCAGAGCCAGAATACCTGCTGGAGTACAGCAGTGTTGGTCCTGCTGCTGATTTCAAGCTAAAAGCCTAAGCACAAGGAAAGCCCAGGTGAAGTTGTCTTCATTTGCCAGGAGTGGCTTCATATGCAGGAGAGATTCCCTACCGAGGGGCAGAATTGTCACTGCTCAGAGGTGGTGGAGAGGAAAGGGCCCAGGGACCACCACTGCCCCTTTCTCCACCAGCAAGTCCTCCCCTGGATGAACAGGAAGACACTGAGACCCTGTGAGCCTCCAACCTGCTCCTCCTGGTGCCAGAACGCCACGACCTCTGATGGACTAGTGTCCTAGGCAGTGACCATCCGTGGCTGTCAACATCCCCCAAAGAGAGACAAAGCAGACTTTACGTGCCCCCTGTGGGAAGTGCCCAACACCACCCTAAAGCAGACTTGCCAAAAATTGAACTTGAATCTGATCAAGTCTCTAGATCCAACTTTCCATTCATAGGAAAGACAGGGGACAGAGGAATATGTTTTAAACTACGTCACAAGGATGTCACCACAAAAATGCAGGCCAAACAACTTGGTTTCTTTAACAAATAAATAACAAGAAAAAAATAGGAGGGAGGGAGAAAGAATGTAGATTACAAGAAACTTTAAAGAGAGCAATCAATTTACACATGTAGACCTTAATTGGCCCCTGATTCAAACAGTAAAAAGCAAAAACAAAACAGTTTAACAATTTGTAACATTTATGAGACAACTGGAAATGTGAACACCGAATGGACAGCTGATGGTATTAAGAAACTTTTGTTTTTTCCTCCCCCATTGACTATCTGCTTTTTCTATATTTTTAATTGTGGTAAAATACACATAACATAAAATTTACCACTTTTAACCATTTTTCAGTGTATAAGTCAGTGGCGTTAAGTATATTCACAATGTCATGCAACCATCATTATTATTCATTCTCAGATGTTAATCTTTTTAAGGTGTAATATGGTATTGTGGTTTAAAACAAGACATTTTCTTTTTAGAATTAAATAAAATGTTCAAAGAATCTTGTCACTTCTCTGTTTTGCTGTTGCTCGAGGATGAAATTCTACATTCTTACTGTGGCCCCTAGATCCAGCTCCTGCCTGCCTCTAGGGTCACACTGCCCACCACCTTCTCAGTCCAGTCTCTATGCTTCAGCAACATGGGCCTTCATGCAGGACCATATCATGACTTTCAGAGGCACTTTTGCCTTTGTAGGGTCTCTTCCTCCATAAATTATATTTTACAAACGTATTAATATAAAGACCAATACATGAATACTATATTTAAAACACTTGCTTCCACTTAAGACTTCATTTTTTTTCTTCTGATTTTAAAAGAAATTAAAACATTTCACTGGGATCCTTTTAGTATGGTGGGCCCAGGACACTGTACCTGCTATGGAGAATAGATGAGTCAGCCCTGTTGACGAATTCGGTCTCTACTGACGCCCCTCCCCTCCCCCCCAACTAAACACTCCCTTCTACCCCTTTCATACTGGCAAGCCCTACTCTTCCTTGGGGAAGCCTGCTCTGATCTTCCCACATCCCCATGACAAGCTCATGACCCCCATCACTCATGCTTCCCTACCCCCTGGCGTCATGAGAAGTATCATGGCTGAGAATCATATATTAATGTGTGCGATTTTTTGCTTCATATCTGTCTCCTCCAATAGATTACCTGTCTCTGTATCTCCAGTATCCAGCCCAGGGCACGTGGTGGCACTTAAAAATAAATATTTGCCAAATAAACAAATAGATTTGAGGCAGGAAGAAACATCGGTGGTAATTTAAAACATTCAAATAGGTAAAAGAAAAATATCTGGAAAGAAATACACCAAAAGGTTAATAATGGTTTTTTTTCCTTTTTTTTTGGAGTGGGTTGGGGGTAGTGGGAGATAGAAAGAATGGTAGGTTTAAGAGTGACTTTTACATAGTTGCTCAGATATTAGATCTTAAATGTTCTCACCATAAAAAAAAAAACTCATTAATTATGTGATATGATAGAAGTACAAGCCAATGCTATGGTGATATAAGTGTATCAGATCAACACTTGTAGACCTTAAAGTTGCATAATGTTCTATCTCAATAAAAAGGAGTGATTTTTATTTTCTCAGTTTGCTTATATGTATTTTTTAGTTTTTTTCCCCCTCAGTGAACGCCTGTTGCTTATGTATTAAAAATATTAAAAACCAAACAGCAGAGAAGCATTCTCACTGAAAGAAAGACCTTACTGACTAAAAGCTCCTTGAGGCATGGCTGTGTCTGCCTTGTTTTCTGCAATGTCTCTTGCGATGGGCACATTAAAGGTGCTCAGTAAGTATTTGATGACTTACTTAATGCTGATCCAGGGGGAGTCTGGATTGGAGATGAGAGCTGGTGACAGCAGGAAGTATGCTGCTGTCTTGCCCTGGGAAGGATTAGATAGGATGCTGCACAGTCAGCAGAAGGTGGGGAGTGAGGGACCTTTCGAAAGTAGAATTATCAGGACTCAAAGAGAAGAGAGAAGGATTCATCTTACTAACTGGGTGGATTGCAAAGTTGAGAATAAGGTGGAGAGAGTATAGGGGAATGGGAGAGATAATAAGGTCACCTTGTGGTTGTATTATGTGTAAAGTGCTAAAGAAGCCCAGGGGGCCTTGGGAATGAAGGACCAGGAATTCAGGAATCAGAAGAGACAAATTTAGGGGTCGCAGTACCCAGATGGCAGTTGTCTTCTCCCAAGTGGGCCAAACTGCCCCACTCCAGCTTCCAGGCTAGAAAACTAAAACGTTAGCAGCCGTGGCTCACTTCAGAACACGCAGAGAGGCAGACCTTTCTATATGGTAAAAATCATCATTACCTTGGACCAACTGAATCTTCCTTGAGCTCATGACTAGACTGGAACTGCTTCTCATTCCGGGTGTGCACTTGCTCTGAAATGGGCATATGAGTCACTGGAAAAGAGGATTTGATTAACAAAGATTCAATCAGACCACAGCTGTGGTCAAAAAGTAGGGCGTGCCTGTAGGGCAAGCCTTTCCCTTGGGCAGCCAGGTTGCCGTGCACCCTGGTTATGCCTGCTGTTGCCACTGTGCCCAGATCTGACCATTAGGGGGCGTGCTTTTGGGTGAAGTCATGGCGGCCTCCAAGGTTCTTATTTCAAAATGTGAATGTCTTTTCATGGTAGCACATCCCAGTGGCTAAGAACTTGTTGCAAATTTATTCTCTTTTCCTTTTGAGGATTAGCTAGGATCAGGATCTTGAGAGAAAGGAGTTTTCATGAGCAAAGAGAAGAACAGAGGTAGCCATGTAATTTGCGATGATGTAGGAGGTGAGGTGCAGCTTGAAGGCTATTGGTATAGGCTGAAGATGGGGTCTGGCATGGGTGGGGTCTGCCTGAAGTGTAGCTGTGCTGTTCCAGGTATATGTAGAGACCAGTTGAGCTAGTCCTAAAGTAGCTCACATCCTCCCAAACCTATGCACCTGTGGATTGTTCTCATGGTGGTCCATGTACTCTTCATGATTGTTCCTCAACAGTAAGAGGCCTTTCTTTATACTTCTATGTCCTTCGAATCTTTTGGCACCACACTAGACATGTTGTCTGTACTTAAATAAGACAAGCCCATTGTTAGCTCTGGGAGAAAAGCCCAGCCAGAAGCTAAACATCTAAGAGACATATCGATCAACAAGTTTTGCAATTGTAACATCTTCAAATAGCTGTCCACAAACAGCTGTAGTCTCTACAAATGGCTGTAGGCTCTGTAAACACCTTCAAGTTCTACAAACAGCTGCATATTTTAAAACTATTACAATTTAAAATTGCGATTTAAATGTTTAGAAATATTTACAAACTAGAGGCTCTGCAAATAGGGATCGGCTCTGTAAACAGCTGTGGGATCTGTGAATGGTTCCAGGCTTTGCAGAAAGTGGCAAGCTCTGTACGTTTCTGCAGTCTGAAAGCACCTGCAGGCTCTGCAAACAGCTGTAGGCTCTGCAAATCATTGGACAATAGGCTCTAAGTTTCAACTATAGATGCAAACCTGAGAACACTATTAGAGCTTTTGAAACTGATCATCACCTATCTTTTCTACAAGAAATAAATATTAGACTAAAGATGGGAAAGGATGGGAGAATGACAAGTAAATTTGATCAATAAAAAAGGTAGGGGCTCTGTCGGGTTGGAAATGTGTCAAAATAATTCAAGAAATGTTGGTGGAGCATTTTTATGTATTAAGAATGGTGCTAGGCACAATGGGAAATGTGGAGAATCATGCGCTCTCATCGTTTGTGGAAATTCCGATACCCCTGGGCCTTTTCTGTTGGCTATTGAGAATACCTGCCCACAGCTCAGATTGATTTCCTTCTGAGTCATTATTGTGTACCTGACAAATGCCTTTGGTTATCAACTGGAACAATAAAATCCCATCATAATTCACCGGAACAGTGCATCCAAAGGTGATTGACATCTCTGTTGATGGTTGCTGGCACCAGGGGTGAGATTATCTTGTGTGTGGTAACAAGGCACTCTAAGGGCAAAGAGTGGACCAAGACTGAGGGCAGGACTCCATGCATGGCACTGCCTCATTACATGATCCCTACGTGCTCCTCTGTGTCCCTAAGGGCCTGAGAAGCATGAAAATGATGTTGAAGTATTTGCTTCATTAAAGCAAGAAGAGATGAACACAGGATACATACACGCAAGCTGACAGCTGGCGAGAAAGATGGCTCTTGGGGCGAGAGGACAAGAGCAGTTCTGGGGGAGGGTTGAGTCCAGGATGTTGAATGCACAGACACTTTCTGGCTATGTGGCCTTGGGAAGTCTATTTAACCTTTCTGAGCTTTAGGTTCATATTCTATGGAAAATGGACATAGTAATAGTACCTACCTTGTGGTGTTGTGGTAAAGATTAGACGAGTTTATATAAATAAAGTGCTAAAACAGTGAAGGCCTATGGTTATTTTCATCTAAATTATTTAGATGACTGTGATTATGATGGTGGTGGCAATGATTATGGTTGTGATGATGGCAATGATGGTGGCCATGGTGATGATGACGGTAGTGGTGATGGTAATGATGCTGATGATGGCGATTGTACCAGTTTCCTAGAAATGTTATAACAAAGTACCACAAATCGGGTGGCTTAAACAACAGAAATTTGTTGTCTCACAATTCTTTACTGACTCACAGTAGGTGTAAGTTTGAGGTCAAGGTGTTGGCAAGATTGGTTCCTTTTCAGAGTTTGAGAGAGAATCTGTTCCAGGCCTCTTTCCCAGCTTCTGATGGTTTGCTGGCAATCTTCAGCACTCTTTGGCGTGTGGATCCATCACCCTAATGTTTACATGGCATTCTCCCAGTTTGCGTGTCTCTCTCTGTGTCCAAATTTCCCCTTTTTATAAGGACACCAGTCACTTTGGATCAGAGCTCACCCTAATAACCTCATGTTAACTAGATTATCTCCAAAGACCCTATTTCCAAAAGAAGTAGAACTTCATCATTTTGGGGGAGGACACAACTCAACCCACAACAGTGATGAAGAAGATGATGATGATGGTGGTGACGTCCTTCCTTTTTCTGGCTGCTCCATGTTTGATAGCCAGCTCCTTGCACAGTAGAGTTTTCAAAAAATGCCTGTTCATTGCCCAGTGTTAGACCTTGCCCATTTTAGGCCCATAATAAATACCTATAGCATTGAATTATAGTCAACCATACCCTGCCATGATCTTGCTGAGTGACTTCGGGTTGGCGGTTCCCCATTCTCTCTTCTGGGTTCCCCCTCCAATCTG